GCTTCTTATCTTCCAGCACTTGTGTTATTTTCTCATCAGCCTAGCAGGCATGAGAATCTCAGATTCTGGTGTTCACATTCAAACATCTCCTCTACCTACAGGTTTCATTTTGAAACCATCTTTGATACGGAGATTCAGGACCTGGGGAAGAGAGTCCAAATCTCTCCACTGGGATTTCCCAAGTTAATTTGTGCTTTCTAAAACTACTTCCCCAAACCGTCACCTGCCAAGCAAACTGCAGGAGACCCAACCACTCCCTGCTCACCATCTCTCTCTCTCTCTCCCTCTCTCTCTCCCCCCCACCCCCAGGCTGCATGCTTATGTCTCAGTCCACAAACTATTCTTCCCGTGAGATGAATTTGCTTGTAATCATCAGGCATTCTTTCCCACTCCCATGTATGTATAAACTCTAAGTTTTGAAGCCATTAGAGTTCCTATGGACATTCAAAGTTAATAATTTAAAAACTTATTTTCTTCTGCACTAACTTGCTTTCAAGACTAAGTTAACCTCAGAGAATTTGATTTTTTGTTCTGAGATAGTCTGTCTTTTCATTTATTCAGCAAACATTGAGCACCTTACTAGGTGCTTAGTAGACTTAGTAGACCCAGATATCTCTTGCATGTAAGAAGTAATGTATTTTTTTTTGAATTTTTATTTATTTATGATAGTCACACAGAGGGAGAGAGAGGCAGAGACACAGGCAGAGGGAGAAGCAGGCTCCATGCACCGGTAGCCCGACGTGGGATTCGATCCCGGATCTCCAGGATCACACCCTGGGCCAAAGGCAGGCGCTAAACCACTGCGCCACCCAGGGATCCCAGAAGTAATGTATTGAATAAAACAGAAACCTGTGACATCATGAACTTTTTTCTAAAGGGAGAGGGCAAGCAGATCATAACACAAAAAAAATATAAAATAAATGGTATTTGACAATGTTAAGTGATACAGAAGGAAAGAAATAAGGCACTATTTTAGATCTTTATTCTGCTACTTCTAAGCCTAGAGGTTTATAATGAAACATCAACTTTCTTCTTCACATCATGGTGACATGAAAGGATTCATTTGGTTTTATTTATTTATTTTGGTCCTTTCACCCATTTTAATGAAAAATTTTGTTCAGGTAACTATTTGTTGATCTCAATTTAAAATTATTCAACATATTCCCTAGTTAGACCATACGAACACAGATTAACTAGGAAATCTTTGCAGCTCTCTATGGATTGTCCACATTGTAAAAACATGGCATGCTCCAGGTGTATGCACGTGCACTTGTGTTTGTACTGTAAACCCGACAATATATGTCTATCTCATTTATTTGAGGTGTTGCAATAGTCTATTTAGAAGGAAATGTTCCAGCGTGATTCTAGAGAAAAATAGAAATTAAAGTACTATATATTGTTTTCCTGAACAAATCTGAAAAAGCTTATGCAATGGCATAGGTTTGATTTTGAATACTGATTTTTATTAAATACTATTTTAAGTAAATACTATGTAAAGAAGTGTCATTTGTTTAACATCAGTCATGTATTTTATGTCATTCATCGAACTAAAATCACATGTTGGGGGAACTAAAAGAAGAAGGCAGAATTTCCATTCTCAGAGGGTTTTCAGTGTCCTAGGAATGAATGATAGTTCCAGAAACATTCCACTGAGTTGAGCATTATCTTACCATGATTGCACAATAAAACAAAAATAAGTTGATATTTGATTTTAAGATATTTGAATTTGATACCATATTTTTATAAGACTTATGTTCTCAAATAAAATAAGAAATTTTCACTACCTAGAGTTTGTTTCTTTTGAGTAGGTCATACCATCCTGAATCTAGATATTGTCTTTCGAATATGTAGAAGTCATTAAAACAAGTAATACGTCTGTGAATAACTGTGGTATAAAAAGTATTGGAGATGCAAAGCCTCTTGCTTTGTCCATAGCACTCTGAGTCTCAGGGCATCTTCTGTAGGACAACCGTGCTTTACTACCTGATAGAAGGCTAAATCAGCTGTTTCTTGAGCCATTGTATTAAATCTCCTTCTTTTCTGGAACTCTCTATAAAATTTTAAAGTATCTATAAATCCTCTGGAAGAGGTCACACAGTTTCAGCAGATTTTAAAGAGGTATGTGGCTAAAAATGATTTATAGAAATACTTTGCTGTCTTTGAAATAAATGTCTTTCCTTAGGGTAGCCATAAATTCTAATTCTATACTCATCCTCGAAGGTAGAATATCTACATAAATAAAATTCTTCCATCCGGGAGATTTATTTATTCTTCCTTCCCTCACTCCTCTTCTTCCTCCCTACCTTCCTTCCTCTACTCTCTCTGTCATCTTTTTATATTATGAGTTCCAATTCAGGTATGCTTCCTGTTTTTATTAAGATGTGAGGGGTTCCTGAAAAAAATATGCCATGTAAATTGTAACTTCTCATACTTTCACATAGACATTATATTCCACATTCTCAGCTTACATCAATGTGATGTTAAAACATTAAGTGTTTACAGATTTATCTTTCTCTTTTGGGCTAAAAGCTTTAATAGGGATTTCCTTCATCCAAATGCACTGTACTTGGTAGTTGTGTATGTCACTTGCTGTTCTTGTAGAATGACAAGGCATTCCAGCTGAAAATCATACTCTGCTTCCTTTACAGCCATAGGATTAATAGCTTAAGTAATCCTGCTCCATAAACAGCTAGTTTGATGTGACTGCAATTATTTCCTTTCATCTCTTCAAGCCACTGATTCTTTTTGTTCAAGATTATATTAAATTTTCAGCTTCTCATAACACAAATTATTGGTTCTGAAAACAAATAATTAACATTGGTTTCTAAGAAGTTTGACATTAAAAACATCTTTCAGACAAATTTTAATTTTCCTTATTTGCAGAGCAGTCTAAAAATGATGCAGAGAATTTAGGATTTCCATTATTTAGAATTAATACTGTTGCCAAAAGTAGACAATTTTTAAAACTTTGCTCTAAGAATGCATTTAAGAATATATTATTTATAGTTTGATATTTTATTACATTTAATACATTAAACATTATTTCAACCATATGACATACAGCATTATTTTTAAAAATAAACTTAAATTGTCTTTAATGTTTCCAATAGTTTTATCTTATTAAGCTATTTTAGTGATATGGTTTCTTATGACTACTAAATGCGTAACCTAAAACAAAGTACTTCTAGCATTTTTTACATTGAGTTTATTCATAATTTAGGTTTCCTAAAGTATGTTTGTAAATATAAAAGTGGGCACACTGTTTCCAATTGATAAACACTTTCACACCTGAGGAAGAAACTTCCATTGATTCCTTATCCCTCCAACCATGGGCATGCCTGCAAAGTGATTGAGGCTCTGAAGGTGAACAGCTGGCAACCTCTACTCTGGGACCCACTGTGGTTCACACATGGTTGTCACTCACTTGGTGCTTGCGTATATAAATCCTAATCTAGAGTTGCCAAGAAAACAATAAAGGCACAAAGGATAGTACAAAAAGGACATATTTGCTTAGCTTCCTTAAAATATTCTCATTGTCTTCAAAGGAAATCCAATCTTCTTTTACATTAATTTTTGTCTTATTATTTATTGTATTAATAATCATCACTTATTGAGCTCTAACCATGACATTTGTTTTTTCATTTAATTTTTCCAACAGATATATCTGGCTAATATTACTATGGACATTTTACAAAGGATGGAAATTAGACACAGGATAATTAATAACCTGTCTATGACTGCAAAGCTTGACAATGTTATTTTATGTCTACATTGTAGCTTCTGCACTGAACTTAAGTTCATTTCACACTGCAGACATTTGGACTCTTCAGACTCTGTAAACTAGCATTATTGTGCTATTTTCACAGCATAGTTCCACAAAGTATTCAATATGGATTTTTAAACTGATTAATAAAAGATGTTTAAGAGGCATTTTTTTCTGTCTCTAGACTATCCTGATTTTAGCTGAAGATACCAGTAGTTTTAGAGATTCTTTAGCTGATTCCTCACCAAAACAAAAACTATTTTGAAATGACTATAGCAATGTAAGAAAGATATATGTTTTTTTGTACAAGCCCCTGATTAGATCACATGAATCTTCTAATGTTTTCTTTTCTTGTATACGTTTCCAGTAAGTCTTTTCTTGTACATAAGCCATTGATGATTCTCCAACTCTGTGTACCTTACCTACTAAATTTCCTGTTAGTTCATATTTAGCAGTAAGACAAAGGGAACCAAAACTAACAAGGAAAATAATTCAGAAAAAATAGTTTCTAAGTGAAAATAGTGTTTAGTGTGGTGTAGATTATACCATACAGAGTTAGCATTAAGGAAGTTTCTCTAGGAAGCCAAAGAAAAATAAAAATTGGTTTTGATTACTGAAGATTCTGTTGAACAAAGACTTTGTCTGCTATAAGGTTATTTGTCTAAATCTGATGTTCATTTTAAGTTGGATTTTGAAGTTTGTTTATATGACAATATAGAGGAAATTTTTTCCTCTGAAGATTAATTTTAAGTTGTTATGAAAAGTCACTCATTAAATTATTTAAAGTAAATGTTATACTTTATTTGGAGTCCTGAATGAAAATATTTTGACACATATACTTTTTTATCTTTTAGTATTTGAGTATTTCATTTCCTTTTCTCTTGAATGTTAAAAGAAATTGAAAATAATATTTCAAGATAAAAAAATAAATTACAAAATATCACTCTATATTCTCTGTAGATTCTCGTTTAACATTATATGGAAACACAGGCTTTTAATATCTCATAAATGAGAAAAGTATTAGATGAAAATCTTTTTCAAAATGTTTCCTTATCATTTTGGTAGCCAAAATCTTTTAAAAAGTTGTAATTGGTGTTTGATAGGCAATGATTTTAATATGACAATTTAGAATGTTAGTATATATCAATGTACTAAAAATAGATTCTCATAAGTTTGAGGGCTCTTGTGTAACTTTATGTTTATTGTTCTCATTTTTATTATTTATTTATTGTTGCAGATTAAAAAAATCAACCGAAACTTTCCTGTAAACCAGCAGGTAAGAGGAAAAATACTTGGAAAGACAAACTATATATTTCTTTCATTTTATCTATTACAGAAGATAATCCTGATTCATTTAATTTTTATGTGGAAATAATTGGCACTCTCATTTGCTCTCCAGGAAAATACATAATTTATTAGATTTCTTTCATATTATGTAATATATCTGTTTCTCTCATCATATTAAAAGCAATTTAAAAATTATTTTATCTAAGTAAATAATCAAAACCTAGTTTTGTTGTATGTATTTGACAAAATATATATATTTATTTTTATTTGATTATAATATTGGAGAACTAGGAGAGCTATTTACATAAAATAGCTTGTATCTTAGTAGATCTATTTTTTTTATTTAAACTCAAGTTGTTTAATATATAATATATTATTTGATTCAGGGATAGGATTTAGTGATTCATCAGTACCATATAATCCCTAGTGCTCATTGTATCAGGTGCCCACCTGAATGCCCATCACCCAGTTACTCCATTCCCTGACCCACTTCCCTTCCAACAACCCTCAATTTGTTCCCTATAGTCAAAAGTCTTTCATGGTTTGCCTCCCTTTCTGTTTTTATCCTATTTTATTTTTCCATCCCTTCCCTATGTTTATATCTGTTCTGTTCCTTAAATCCACATTTGAGTGAAATCATATGGTACCTGTCTTTTCTCTGACTTAACATAATACCCTCTAGTTCCATCCACATTGTTGCAAGTGGCAAGATTTCATTCCTTTTAATGGCTGAGTAGTAGTCTTCTACTTTATCCATTGATGGACATGGACATTGCTGCTATACACATTGGGGGTCCATATGCCCCTTCAGATCACTATTTTTGTTTGGAATATCTATGTTTAATTGATCTAAAAGTTAGAAGGAATTTTCAAAATTAGAAGACAATATTTAACATGAGTCTAAATGAATGCATAGAATGAAAATGTCTAACTAATCCAGCCAAGAATTTATTTATTAGATTAATAATTGATTATAGAATAAAATAATTGATTATATAAAATAAATAATTCTATTTATAATTTTATAAAGCTGCAGTTAACTCTTGCATTGCCTTCATAAACATTATGAAAACATTCATTTGAATGAAGAAAGTAAGTGTAGGTTCCATTTTGGACTGATGCAATCAGTTGTGTGTCAGGTTTGTGTGATGGTAGAGAAGCAAAGGCCAGCCATGCATTTCTTAACCTTGACATCAACCTCAATGTGTAACTATTGATCAACATCCAAACATCTATCCACTTATAAATAGGAGGTCAATCACAAGTTAATTTCAATGGTAAAAATTTTAAAGAACCAACTTAGGAAAACTAAGTTGCTTTTTTTTTTTTTAAGATTTTATTTATTTATTCATTAGAAACAGAGAGAGAGGCAGAGAGATAGGCAGAGGGAGAAAAGCTTTTTTTTTGTTTTGTTTTTAAGACTTTATTTATTTATTCATGAGACACAGAGAGAGAGAGAGAAACAGAGACATAGGCAGAGACAGAAGCAGGCTCCATGCAGGGAGCCCGATGTGGGATTCAATCCTAGGACTCCAGGATCACGCCCTGGGCTGAAGGCAGGCGCTCAACCACTGAGCCACCCAGGCATCCCTAAGTTGCTTTTCTTATCTAAACCTCAGTTCCTTCATTGGTAATATTTTAAAAGTGCAGCTACTTTACATGTTTATTTTTAGAGATTAAATAAAAAATGTAAAATTCTCAGTATATGCCATTATTATCATTAATATGTTAAAATTTTAAATTTGTTCTTTAGAATACAGAATTTATGGTATTGTATAAATTATATTATTATTGGTGCCACTAGTCCAGACTAGCCCACAAAGTTACATGTGACTGAAATACTAATGAAAATAGCTCTGGAAAGTTCAGTGTGTCTACAGTGCTCTGAACTATGTCTTTACAGCTATCGGCATATCTTGTTTCTGAGCCATGTTGATGTTTTAGGTAGATGCAGAAGTTGGAGAGCTGTATGTCATGTGTCTCACTACATTCCACTGTGGTTACATCTGAGGCTCTTGTTTGTGGTGCCGAGACCAGAGCTCTAGCCCAGAGCTACTGATTCACTAGCTCTGCAATGATACCTGGGAAACTCTTCTGTGGCTCCCATTCCATCCCAGATACTTCTGATGCCAGTAGGACTTTACTTAGAAAGTACTTTAACAATTTTATAGGGCTATAGTGGAGGAAAAATTCATTAATGAGAAATTCAGATAGAAAGGAACATCAGCCATCATAGAAGGTTGTAATGCCCATCAGTAAACATAGTCATTTTATAGTCAGATACATGAAATTTAGATCTATTCATTTGGGGAATTTTTGCCAAAAATATAATTGATGAATGTTTCTTTAAGATTGACCCTAATATCTATGTTATTATCCTTCTTTGCCCTTTCTAACCTCGACATATGAAGTATTAATAATTAGCATAGTTTATATTACTATAAATATTTCATAATCCTAATAACCTATGACTATTCTTTATTTACAATGACAACTATATTCAATGCTCCCTACATTTTCCCTGCAATGACTGGTGGCATTCTTTGCCACCTCTGCATTTACCTATGTTTTGAATAATAGTAAAGTAAGTAAGAATCTGAAAAAACTTACATATAAAATAAATAATAAAAACTATTCCATATGCCAAGCCACACATATGTTAAAAATGTAGATAAACGTTAGTATTCATAGCTTTTTATTTGATAGCCTTATAATATTATTATACTGAAATTTTATTTCAAATCTCTTAGCATTTCACTTTTTTAAAAAATCCTAATGAATTCTTGACATTTTAAAAACTGAAAGCATCGGGATCCCTGGGTGGCGCAGCGGTTTGGCGCCTGCCTTTGGCCCAGGGCGCGATCCTGGAGACCCCGGATCGAATCCCACATCGGGCTCCCGGTGCATGGGGCCTGCTTCTCCCTCTGCCTGTGTCTCTGCCTCTCTCTCTCTCTCTCTCTGTGACTATCGTAAATAAATAAAAAACCTTTAAAAAAATAAATAAAAAATAAAAAAAATAAAAACTGAAAGCAGAGTTAACAATTTTTTTATTTACTTTCCATCATGGAAATGAAGACTTCCGGGAAATGGGATTCATTTATAGTCCAATATTCATATATACACACCATTGGAAAACTCACTTGCATAATGTGATAGCAATGCATTAGGAGGCCAAGGTACATTCCCTACTTAATAAAATGTGAGCCACCTTAATGAATAAGAATCCAAAAACAGATATAATCTCATCTCTCCTTCAGATTTAGCATGAAAAAAAAAAAAAACCCTCAATCCTGTAAGCCATAAAGAACATGCAAATTTAAAACATGGTGAAATCACTACATATACACTAGAACAGCTAAGAATTTGCACGGAGAACCTGGAGTTGTTATACACTATTAGCGGAAATGCAAAATGGCACAAACACTTCAAAGAGGCTGGGAGTTACTAAAAGATCAGATCTACACCTACCAAGTGATCCAGCCAGTCCACTCCTAGGAAGTAAAAACATGTGTTCCTACAATGACTTGTTCATGAATGTCCATAGCAGCTTTGTATGTTAATAGCCCAGTTAATAACAGGAAACAACTCAAATTCCAACAGGTGAATGGACATACAGTATCATATCAATACAATGGAATGTTACTTAGCAGTTAAAAGGAACACACTCTTGATATGTGCTACAGCAGAGATGAATCTCAAAATGATTGTGCTGAGTGAAAGTAACTATGCACTGTCCCCTCCAAAAATAGAGTATATTCTGTATGGTTCTATTTATATAATATTCTAGGGATTGAAAACAAAGGTACAAAATCAGAAAGCATATCAGCAGTTGTCTGGAAGGGAAGGGAAGGTGGTAATAGAAAGGGAGTATAAAGGAGCATGAGGGAATCTTTTGGTGATGGATATGCTCATTATGTTGATTATAGTGATGGTTTTATGGGTGCATAGATATGGCAAAATTTATTAAACTTTACCATTTAAATATGTGCCATTTATTTATGTCATTATACTTCAATAAACTCTAAACCATTTATTATTAAAACATCTGGGAATTGGGGGCACCTGGGTGGCTCAGTAGTTAAGTGTCTGCCTATGGCTCAGGTCATGATCACGGGGTCCAGGGATTGAGTCCTGCATCAGGCTCCCCACAGGAAGCCTTCTTCTCCTTCTGTCCATATCTCTGTCTCTCTTGATGTGTCTCTCATGAATAAGTAAGTAAAATCTTTACATAAGTAAATAAATAAAACATCTGGGAATCAAATAAATTAAAAATTATATTAAACCAAGGCCATTGGGATTTGCTTTAGTCTTAATTATTGTCTAGACTTGAAATTATAATTGTATATCTCTTAATTCACTTTTTGTTAGGAGTAACTTTCTCCTTTCCTCTGTGCATCTAGAACATAACCATCTGTCTTCTCTGTCATAATTTTGACCAGATTTATTTATTTAAAAAAATGCAGTGAAATTCAGTTTCAATTGATATGTTTCCTGAAAATCATGGAAAGGGGGGACAGTGGTCTTGCTGCTCAGTATCTGTTAAGCAGTGGTACTCAGCTAGGTGTTAAATTATGCTGTGATAATTTACTCAATGAATTAGAGATCATTTAGGCAAGCAGACCTATATCACACTGCTGTACATACATAACTCCATTATGTAATAATTTATTGTTTTTCATTTTTTATTATTAACTAAAATTCCTCCATTGTGAAGCATACCTCATTATTTTCATGAAAATAACATTTTACAATGAATATCTTCAGTGCTTACCAATGCGAAAGGTTAGGGAAGATTAATTCATCATGAAAATATTAATATAATGAACTTCCTTTATATCAGGCACTATGCAAAATAGAATTATTAAATTACAATAGTTTAAACACATAAAAATTATATTAATCTGAAATAAATAAAATAGTACTTCAGTTTATCTTATAGAAACATTCATTTTGTCTAGTTACAATAATTTGGATACATTATTATAGATA